ACATTCTTTAGAGCAAGGTGGGGCTTTTCTGTACCTTCGAAATTCTTTATTTGCCCTAAGCACTGGCACTCAGTGCAGTGAACTTAATTCACAACTTCCACAGGAGGAAAATATTTGGATGCTTATTTGATTCTTACGTGGCTTCCAAGCCCTATTTCCTTGTCTTTTCCCCCTACCTTGGCCTTGCTTTCCATGTCTGTCCTATCTTAAACCAATAATCTTTTAGTAACCACAATAAATGGAAAGCTATGGGAGAGGGGATTGTTGCTTTAATTTATGTTTTCCACTCATCACTTGCATTGTGTCATACTGGTGAGCTTTCTATAAAGGATGCTAGTTGAAAGTATTCTTAGACCTTTATTATACTTGCTAGTATTTAAGACACACAATTCTTTAAAATGGTGTCACATTGGGGAAATCTGATTAAGATTGGTAGGTTGTTGTCAATCTCAATGCCCTGGCTGATATTGTACTATAGTTTTGAAAGATGTTACCATTGGGGGACCTCTGCATTATGTACTGCAACTGCATGTGAAGCTAAAATTTTATTAATAAAAATTTCAGTTAAATAATTGATATCACAAAAATTATATTCCCTATCTTATTTCAGTCTGTCTGGCATGCTTAATAAAATAATTAAAAGTACAGAGTTTGGGCCTGACATACTTGAATTGGAATCCTGGCTCCACCACTTTTTAATTGACCAAGTTACTCAACCTCTGATGGTCTTGTCTTTCTCATTAAAGGAATGAAGGTAATAACCATAAGTACTTCATAGGGTTTTGAGGTTTAAATGAGACAGGGCGTACGAATCACTTTCATAGTACTAGACATATAGCAAACACTAAAAAATATTAGCTTCTTCTGTGATTATTATTCTTGTTATTATTGTCACTATTATTACTTCTGTAATTAGAGCTAAAGGAAGGGTTTTTCATCTTAGCCTAGATTCTAACTGACTACTGGTTACTCTGACTTGTCCTTAATAAAAAACACTTTGAATTTTCACATCAATGTTTTACTTAAAATAACTTAAGGACAATTTTAACATCGGGAGCTAAATAATCATTGCTGATGAATGTCTTATACTACATTATTGAAATTAATAATGGTAAATATTGATATCAAATTGTGTGCTGGGTACAAAATAAGAAAGAGGTAGGAACGATTTTATTAAAAATTGAACAACATTCATAGCATCCAAACTACAGAACCACCTTCACCAATATGCCTCTGGAATACAAAATCGTTTTCAACTGTAGGCCTCAAGGTTTGCTTTGTCAGAACAGTGTACACTTAGATCTACTTGATATTATTTAAAAAGCAGTAGATAGGGTTCTAGACTCTAGACACAATTCTGTCATAGGAAGTGTGACATTTGGGTCAAGTCTTTTACCTTCTCTAGCCATCTGATTCTCCATGGGTAAATTTCAGGGTTTGGGTTTGATTAATGATTCTCAAAGCATGGTCCCTGGACCAGCAACATCAGCTCCACCTGAGAATATGTTAGAAATACACACTTTCTGGCCCCACCTCAGATCTCTTGATTTAAAAACTGTGGATCCAGCCAAGCAATCTGTATTTCAGCAAGCCCTGTTGATCCTGATGTATACTGATGTTTGAGAATCACTGCTATATAGATTAAATTTTAGTCTAAATTTTAGGTGGTTGGATCCACCCGCCACCCCCCGCCTTGGTTTCTGATTTAGTATGGTCTGTTAGCACCCTTTGAGAACCACTAGATTAGATCATCTCTAATTCCAGTTCTATGATTCTGTGTCCCCCTCCGTCTTATTTACCTTGTCCCTCAAGCTATGGAAACTGCTTTTGGGTTAATGGTTAGCATTTAAAGTTTCTAACATATCTTACCTTGTAGATGTGATGGACAGAAAGGAATTTCCTTTAATTCTTACAGCTCATGTCAGTATAAAACACCTACGGCTCTTTAGATTAGAAAAGACCCTAGATAGTTTACTTATCTCATGTACGTTTCTAGTTACAAAGGAAGTATCTTCAGACACCAAAATTCAAGAGTTAAACTCTGATCCCTAACTGACCTTGATCCCCTTGTTTTGTCCATGATCTGAAGTGCCTGGGTGACCAATGTAAAAATAAAATTATATTTTCATTCTAAGAGTCTATTTAATTAATAACACTTAAGAGCCGCATTAAATCTTCAGATGAGCCTATGTGACTTTCCCTCTTCTTTTTCATGGTCTTCTAGATACTCAGGATGGGATAATTCTCTCTGAGGCATGGTAGCTGCTAAGAACACAGCATACCTCTGCTCGCCAAACTAAACTATTTAGTTGGCTCATATTTTCTTTTTTGAATTCAGGTTATGGCTAAGATCCACTGTTCTTGTTTTCTCAGTAATTTGATAATTTCTAGTTATTAAATGTGCAAAGAACTTAAAAAAATAACAAGGAACCAACATTTACTGAGTGCTTATTATGTGCCAGACACTGTGCCACAGGTTTTACTTTTATTGTCTATTTAATCCTCTTAATAACCATGCAAGACTCTTTCATTACCTTCAATTTTTACATAAGGAATTAGACTCGGAAAGGTTAAGTAACTGTCCAGGGTCACAAATGTCAGTGTATAGATCTGAACTCAGATTTGTTTGAAAACAAAGCCTTTGTAGTAACATAGGTTCTTAAAAATATGTGTTGAATGAATGAACATAAGAATGACTATATATCATACTATCTTCCTAGTGTTGACCTTTAAAAAATCATCAAATTATAAAGTTAGAAAGGCTCTTGTAGGTCATTATCTAATCAGGTTCTTAGTAATGTAATCTCCTTTAAAGCATCTCTAACATAAGGATATACAGCCTCTACTTCACCAAAGTATATAAAGAAAGGACACTAACTACCTCTTTAATCAGAGTGATAGTTGAATAACTAATTATTAGAAAATTCTTCTTTGCATTAAACTTCCCAGATATTCCTTCCTTTTGAGACTAGTTCTGCCTTCTGTAACCACTCAAACTTAATCTGATCCTCCTTCCACACATCATTTCTTCAAATATTTGAAGATAACCCTTATATCTTCTTTCTCCCATACTAAATATTCCCGCATTTTTTCCAGTTTACATCTTAAGAACCACAATACACCATAGTAACTTAACTAAGCATTTGTTAACTGAAACAAGAGAGTAATAAATAAATAATATGGTACCCAGACTCCTCACCTTCCTGCTGCCCTTTTTAGAGTGTGAAGCATCTGCACTGTGTTCTGTGAAGATGCTAGGACCATTATCTCTTCTAGAGGAAAATGAAATGATCTCCTTTGATGCACTCTTGCACTGAACAATTGTCACCGAAAAAAATCTTCTGCTTTATTTCCCGGCATCGAACATTAACCTCATCTTTGACACCTCAGGTTTGCATCAGATCACAACAAACTGGAATTGTACAGCCAACCCAGTGGTTTTCTTCAGGGTTAAAGGCAAGACTTGGGCACTAGGGGATCAGCTCCAATTTAAGCAGGCTAAGTTTGTACTCTAATGTACAAAAGTAGGGCTTACCTCAGCTAAAATGGAAGAAATAGCTGCCCAAAGCTAGTTTCTTTCACGCCCCACTGGCAAGGTAGTAATTGCACAAAGACCTTTTTATTATAAGTTGATTTTCCTGAGAAATGAATTCAGAAAAATACTGTAAAGTGTTTATTTTTTGCCTGCCCTTTATTAACCCACATCTTAGGGCTTTCACTAGAGAAAAGCTGTTGGTAAATGAAACCTCTTAGACCCACAGAGAAGCATTTTGCATTATGTCCCTGGCTGTGGAGCGAACAGGGACAGAACAAGGCAAGTTGGTGCTATTTAAACAGGGTCATCAGCCAGAATATGGAATTTTGCCTAAAGAGAAGATTTAGGAATTTAAACAGGGAAAGGGTTTGGGGTCAGTAAAATTACTGGGAAAGGTTTATGTCTTAAAGAGGATATAAGGCAGCCCTTTTACGCTAGTAAATAGGCCAGAGACCCTGTTTGAACTTAAGATAATTCCTTTTGTACATTGTAGTTTTGATCTTTAAATAAGGAAAATCCTATAGTCCAACCTATTAAATCATGCTCTGAAAGCCAGGAAAAAACCTTCCTGTGATGCTATGCTGGAATCAGGGCAGAATGCATAGAGTAAAGAAGGGAGCTAGGAAATTAAAGTGTGATTTTCACAGGCATGATTCTGTCATAGCTCTTATTTTCTTTATATGGAATACAAATACTGATATAGAGTGAAGATTTTCTATTTTGCATTTTTGTGCTCTTTGATACATTTATTGAGGTCAAATGAAATTTGATATAGTAGGATTTATTATGAAATGCTCTCTGAATACAACTCCGTAATTACTGAGCTACATGGTAATGCATAAAGCTGTAAAACTGCTTAGCCAGACAAGCAATTTATATGTTACATCGAGGTGTGTATGGCAAAGAATATTAGTTTAATTGGGAGTCAAGATGTAGTAGCCTTAAATCTGAAGAGCTCTATGTTTAACATAATGCAGTGAGGCTTTGAAATAGAATACCTGAACTGGAGAGGTGCAGCTTTTGGAATATATAACAATTAGACATTATTTTCTGACCAAGGATGCTAAATAATATTTTCAAAATAAAGCACAGAATGCAAAGCAGGTGAAAGAGCAAAACCTCCCAACATTTCACAGTGTAAGAAAAGATACAAACTTACTATTTTCTAGTTCTTTGTTTAAAAGAAAGAGACAAAGTTAAAAAAAAAAAGGCAAGAGAAAAGAAAACCATTAACTACGGTTTGGACAGGGATGAGGCAAATTCACAATGAAGTTATGCCTCTGGTGTGCTAATGGAATCTAAGAAAAGGGGTTTGGTGGAATTTGCCTGAATTCTCTCAGGGAGCAGATATGGAATGAGGTTAGAGGTTAGTGGTTGTGTGGGTACCCGCACACCACCGGGGGTGAAAAACAAATACTTGGCGTACATTTGCTCTCTGTCTGATCATAGGCTCTCTTCTGTTTAGCAGGTTCAGGGTCACATGCCTCCGCTCATGATCCCAATTTTTCCACATGACCAGCGGACCCTGGCAGCAGCTGCTGCCGCCCAACAGGGATTCCTCTTCCCCCCTGGAATAACATACAAACCAGGTAAGTAAAAAGGGATTTAACATTCTTTTAGAAATGCCAAGATCCACATGTTTTTGCTTAGCAGTCACAACAAACACAGGCGCATACAAGGGAATTATAAATAAAAAGATCATACAAGCTTATTTTAAAGTAAAATTAGAATTAGGGAGAGGGGTAGAGTAATATACTTATGAGTTCCCAAAAACTTTTGCTTTTGCTTTTTCCACTTGTGTTTCTTCTCAAGTCACAGATAAAATGCTGCTTTCCCTGGGGACTACAACATTCTTGTCAGTTCTCTCTCATACCTTTACCATGAATAATTGTCTTTAGTTGAAGATCCTTTCCTCCTTCTGAGAGCTTTTCGACTCTGGGAGAGTGGTCACATACAGTAGAAAAAGTTGTTATTGTTTGCTGTCTGATTTCTCTTGGGGGAAAAAAAAGTAAAAACTGGGCTGATTTAATTAGCTTACCACTAATAGGTAAAATTATTTTTTATTTTAGTCTAAATAATGAAGCATTCAGTAATATTTTCTCATTCATCTTTGAACCTCAAAAAGCAGGTCACATAACCTTGCAGTGAAATATGTTTTGAAATGATTTAGCAAATGTTATGATTTTTCTTTATTCCTCTGAGTTTACTGGACTCCTGGGGAATTCAATTAGGAGCATAATGGTTTGAAGTTTCTTTCAGAGCCTCCTTGTAAACAGGGTTTAAAATGTTTAAAGATATGTTGCCAAAGGAATCCAACTTAAGAAGATAGTCAAGTAAATGAAAGTCAATCTTAATTTCATTTGTGCATTCTTTGTAAGTGACCTCAGCTCAGAAGTAGTGACCTTGTTCTACTCATTAATAAATTCTGTGTCAAGTTCTTTTTAACATATTAACCTGATTATATTAACTACCAAATCTGAGTGCAGCAGTTTCTTTGGGTATAGGGTTTACAGAGTGAACAAAGGCATTTTAATATGCTTAAATAAATAATAAAATATAAATCATTTTATTAAAATTCTGTTAAGCAAGCTTACTAAATAATATAAAAGCAAACTACTGGGTTTAGCATCTAATAAATTGCTTGTTGCTATTGATTACTGTTTTGCATTTGGTAGAGAACTCCCTTGTGAGGAAATGTAGGGTGTCTGTGGCAAAACTCAAATGATTTAAGGAATAAAGATGTTAAGAGATTGGCTAACTTAAGAACTGACTTTGAAAAGGTTTTTGGATACCTGAATAAAAGAAAATCGTGTCAAATTGTTAAAAATTATTTTTTTCTAAAGAAGAATTTTTAGAGCCACTTATACTCCGTGTGGAATTGGTATCCATGTTAAGGACAGATGTGTGTTTTGCCAGAGGAAATATTTCTGTCAGTTCAGTGTTTCAGACTTTCCCCAATGTCTGTAAATAGTTTTGAGCTATTTCTTCATCATGATTTCCTTTGGAACGTTGGCGTTAACTAAATGCACTGGTTTGTCCTGAGTCTGAGTTGTCACCCCTATACCAGCCTTAGAAACCTTTTAAATGAACTATCTGTGAAAACTCTGAATTTTATTTCAGTGTTTTGAAATTTAAAATTCTCTAAATTTCAAAATCAGGTATAGGCCTTATTTTCTACTAGACCTACACATTTTTAACTGTTATTACCCTAATTTTGTTAAAACAGTGTTGTCATTTTTCATTATTCAATTATTTTAGACCCATTATTTAAAAGTCATCTCAAACAGCATCGATGAGATTGAAACCTGTAACTAAGAATGATGTGGAGATCGGGACAATATTGCACAGGAGCGAGTTATCGCCATTGACCGGGGGTGTGGCATAGAGTAGTGTCCCGGGGTAGAAAAGTTACATTTAAAAATATTGGCTAAACCCTGTTGGCTAAGGCAGAACAATGGGTTTGGACATGTAGGAAGATTTTTAATCATAAGCAAGGATGGTACAAAAAGTTATTTTCTGGTGACCCCTAAGTTATATCAGAGAATTTAATCAGAACTCTCAAATTTTTAATATTTTGACTAATGTAGGCTTTATTATAGCTAAAAATTATGCTTAAATGGATTAAACTAGTATTTTTTTACTCTAATGGTAGAGAAATTACCTACTTAGGAGAATTAACCTTGTAGTGGTACTTTGCCATTCACATGAATTGGAAGGAAGAGACTACCATTGGACTGGAGTCCAGACAAGGAAAACATTTTTTTCCAAACTGAGCTTTGATAACTTCACTGGAAATACATGTGAGATAATGACCAAATTTTTACAAGAGAGGAGCTTTGTCACATATAAAAGCTTTGAAATGGTTCCATAAATTTTTATTCTGGTCTGCTGAGCAAGAGGATAGGCAGGTGCTACCTTGGATTTTTTAAATTAAAAAAAAAATGGTTCTCCATAGAGAGTTATCCTCCTCTTTTTGTTCCCTTTCTGCCTTCCTCTTAACCTGAGCACTGATATCTGAGAAAATTAAGAAGTAAACCTCTTTCACAGTTGTCAATGTGCATATCAGATCCAGGTAATATTTGCCTAAAAAATAAAAGCAATGAATAGCCTCTTTCATATACCAGGGGTAATGCAGCTGACCCATGCACTTTGTGTTGTTGAGATTTTTAAAACAATTGGTGTTGGAATGGCCTTGAAGTTACCCAGTAGATGCTAGGAGTAGGATTATACTTATTCCTGGCTCCTCCATTTACCTCTTAGTTATAACATGATAAGAGCTAATGATTACTGAATAATTACCGTGTGCCAAACACATTTATTTTTCATGGATTCTTTTATTTAACTCTTACTTGAATATGTTGTGTAACCTTAATGAACCTCTCTTTTTGTCATCTAAAAAATGTGGCATAATTTGTACACTCCTCAGTGTGGGTGTGAAGATTAAATTAGGTAACATATGTAAAAAAAAATTGAAAATTCTAAAGCACTAGGGTTGGGGGTAAAGCCTGACCATGAAGCTGAATAAATTTAACTGGCTCAATACACTATATCCTTATTCATTAGAAACATCCCAATGCTGAACATTTAACTGACATATAGTATCCCTCTGCCTGATGACCATAAGCAATTTTGGAAGTATATCTAATGCTTTCTTGTTTTTCAAAAATAGTTTATTTTTGTTGTTGATGTTGAAAATATACACAGCAGAATACCCACCAATCCAAGAATTTCTTATACAGAGACACTGATTACGTTCTTTAAGTTGTGTAACTCTTCTCACCTTCCTTTTCCAAATTTTTCCTCCCCCATTAACATAAACTTACTGCCATCTAAGCTTCCTATCTAACCTTTGGAATTGTGGTTGTCAATTTGATCCCATATAGGTAATTTTTAAAAGAGCACAATGCTCAAGGCAGACATTCTTTTCTAGCTAAACTATACTACAATTTTGGTTTAACGAAGATTTCAGGGGATATTTTTGGTTTAAGGTTTAAAGATTATCTCAGGGCAATAGTTTCAGGGGTTCATACAGCTTCAGTGGCTCCAAAAAATCTGGATTCTGTGGGATTTTAAATTCTGTTCTAGAGTTGCCCCCTTTTGATCAGGATTCTTCTATAGACCCTTTGATCAAAACATTCAGTAATAGTAGTCGGGCACCATCCAGTTCTGGTCTCATGGCAAAGGACGTAGTTCCTGGAGGCAATTAGCCACACATTCTATTTCCTCCTTCTATTCCTGACTTTCCTTCTTCCTCTGTTGCTCCTGGTGAATAGAGACCAATTGTTGTACCATGGATAACCACTTGAAAGTTTTTAAGACTCCAGGCCCTACACAACGAACTAGGAGGTAAAACAGAAGCACTAAACACAATATTAGGCCAATTAACTGGGAATCCCATGAAACTATGACCCTAAACCTCCAAACCAATAAACCAAATCCCATAAGGTGTTTGATTGTATATAAGCAGCCCCAACACCACTCTTTTTTGTTGTAGTTGTAAATATATGTATCACATGACATTTGCCAATTCAGCTTTTTACAGGTGTACAACTTATTGACATCAATTACATTAATCAGCTGTGCAATGCTTTTTAATTCCTTTGTTTTAGTTAGCATTTATTGATCACCATTTATTTGCTAAACTTTATATATATTGTTGCTGTTGTTGGAGTCCTCATGGTTCAGTGGTTAAGAACTTGGCTGCTAACCAAAAGGTTGGCAGTTCAAATCCACCAGCCATTCCTTGGAAATCCTATGGGGCAGTTCTACTCTGTCCTATAGGGTCCTTGACAGCAATGGGTTTGGTTTCCATTGTTGTTGTTGTTGTTAGTTTCAGTCGAGTTGATTCCAACAGAGTAGAACTACCTCATAGGGTTTTCAAGGCTGTGACCTTTCAGAAGCAAATCGTTGGGCCTGTCTTCCCAGGTGCTTCTGGGTGGGTTCAAACCGCCAACCTTTTGGCTAGAAGTTGAGCCTTTAACTGTTTGTGCCACCCAGCTGCCCCCTTTGTATATGTATACATAGATAAAACCAGTTGCCGTTGATTCGATTTTGACTCATGGTGACCCCGTGTGTGTAAGAGTAGAACTGTGCTCCATGGGGTTTTGGTGGCTGATTTTTTGGAATTAGATCTCTAGGCCTTTCTTCTGAGGCGCTTCTGGGTAGATGCAAACCTCCAACCTTTCAGTTAGCAGCTGAGTGTGTTAACCATTTGTGTGTGTGTAGTATGTATGTATATATATACATATATATATATACACATATGCACACAGGCACATAAATACACAAGTATCATGTATATGTGTGTATTATATATATGTATACTCTCATTTAATTCTCATAACAACTCTAAGATATAAAGTTATAAGTGGTATTATTTCTATTTTGTTTTTTAAAAAAAGAAAACTAAAATTCAAAGAAGTTAATTAACTTTCCCAAGTTTTCACATCTAGAAAATAGTGGAAATAAAATTCAGACTGAAGTTCTCTGGTTTATAGTCCATACTCTTGTGCCATGGTCTAATGTGTGTGATCTTAAGAAAAGTCTCTTTTTTTGCTGTGAAAAAAAAATGTGATTTATGTGTGTGGCGTTATCCAAATGACATCTTGTGAAGTCGGCCATCTCTTATTTCTTCTAGACTATTTTAAGGCAGAGGTGTTTAGCCATTATAGCTGGACTACTTGAGTAATTAAATCTATATACTTGGAATCAAGGCATTCCTGAGGTTATCAGACTAGTCCTCTCATTTTATAAACAAGGGAATGAAGTCTAGGAAGAAAATATGTTCACCCATGTAAGCCTACCTAGTTTTATGGAGACTGAGAATTATTTTAGACTTTCCCTAGAGGCACCTTGGAAGAAAGGCCCATGGAGCACAGTTCTACTCTGACACAGATGGGGTCAGGATAACTGGTGGTGGTGGTAGTGGTGGTGCCCTCCTTCATTTATGGAGACTGTATCATTGACTATAGAGTCACTGTGAGTTGGAATTGACTCGAAGGCAATGGGGTTTTCTTGTTTATCATTGACTGGGAGCCCTGATGGTACAGTGGTTAAGAGCTTGGCTGTTAACCAAAAGGTTGTCAGTTCAAATCTACCAGCTGCTCCTTGGAAACCCTGTAGGGCAGTTCTACATTGTCCTATAGATTTACTATGAGTCAGAATAGACTCAACGGCAGCGGGTTTGGTTTGGTTTTATCATCAACAAACTATCATTAAAGCATGAACTTTGAGTTATTTTTTGAGTTGATTTCGAGTAATGGGATGAATTTACATTATTTCATTTACATCTACTTATTAATTGCCCTTGTAACAAATTATGTGGATTTTCAAATGATTGGCAGAGATGTGTATGCAACTTTGAGATAAGTGAAAAAATTAAGATTCTATTTGATTCTTATCCTCTTTAAAGAAATGCAAAACAATGCAGATGATCTCAGAGAAAGTCCTTAGATCAAGACTCTTTTCATCATTGATGTATTATTTGATGAATAGAGCAGGATAAATTTAGCAAGACAAACAATAAGAGCATTGTGATTTCAGCAATATATACTGTAATCCTTGCCAATTCTTTTTGTCTAATTGTCCTCAGAACAAATTGGAGGGTTTTTGTTTGTTTTCTTCTTCTTTTTAGGATTGTAAATGTAGCACCTATTACCTGCTAACTTTTGCTGCAATATGATGTCTCACAAAGATAAATGATTTATTATGGCATTCCCTCAGAGTATAGAAGAGTTGCAATATTTTTGCTACTCTGATACATACACCCAAGCAAGACCCATGCAAAGTGGAATGTCTGAGTGTTTGTGATTGAAATATTTACACATTGTAGAAAGATACCTCATAAAGGTGGGATCTGTATGTAGGTTGTTAGACAACTTAAATAATTTATCATCCTCCTGCATGCCACCACAGAATAATCTGTGAGATGGTTAGGGATGTGTAGTGTATTTTTCTTATTTTGGAGGTTGGGAAGTAAGATACGAAGTTAAAGTCCCACCTTGGGCCAGTTACTGAAGAATCCTTGAATCCTGTCTCCTAGTTCAATGTTTTTTCCTTCTCCACTCCTCTCAACCTCTCTAAATAATTTTCCCAATAGATTCATATCTGAACTTAATACCACAGGAGACTACAGCCAGTCTAGTCCCTTGTCTTTCTGTAGAATGAAAGTGAATGGACAGAATTTTACCCATGAGGTTTTTAACTCTTTAATAAATTTGCATATATGTCTGAATTACACAAACAAGGTGTCTTCTTGCAGAAGGTAGCCTGAGTCTAGTGAGTTCTAGACTCTCAGTCCAAGCTCTGCTTGTCCCATGTTTAAGACCCATGAAGTTTTGGCTTCATTTCAGTTTCCCTGAAAACTTAAGAATTTACTTTCTCTCTGTTTAGGGACTCTTGCTGCTGAGCTGCTTTAATTCTGAAGGAATGTTGCCTACTTTGACAAGTCAAACTAACACCAGGCAAATTTTCCATAGGTTTTAAGTCTTGTTTTGTATTTTTCTGTAATCTTCAGATAAAAAGTCCGTCGGAAAATCTAGAAGGCTGAAAAGATGGATTTATGGAATGTGCATTGTTTCTCAAACTGGCTATAGGAGTTTGTCTTTTTACACTAGAGGTAGCAAGGGCCAGACTACAGTAATGCCTAAAGCTAACCTGTTCCAACAGGCTTCATCTTCCTTTGTACAAATTTAAAAAGAATGGGTCCTCACGCAAGCATTTCAAATACAGAAACAAATTTGAAAAAAATTGCTACAACATATTGACTGATTCCTTGCCAAGTCAGCCACTGCGAACTTTTTCTTGATCAACTCTTACACAGAGAAAATTAGAGGTGGGGGGGGGGGGACATCATCTAAATTTTACTGAAACATTAAACTTCACTGTACTATTAAAATTCTTTCGCTCTTACATTTTTTTCTTTCACTGTTAACCCCCCGCCCTTCTGCCCTATCTTCTCCCTCTCCTGCCTTTTCCTTTCTTTCTCTTCCAGTCATTCTCTGTGATATACTCTGTTGTTCTTATGCATTCACTTTTACTTTTGCTATTGATACAATGATATATCCTGGAGAAATAGCTTTCTAAAGTTATATTTAGATATACAGATTCAAACTAGCAGAAGGTTAAAAACATTTTAAAAAATGCTTGTCAGCAATGGAAAGAAAGCTGTTTGTAGCCAGCAGGTGAGCTGGAAAAGACGACAGGGTGTGGTAGAGATAGTAATAAATTAACTGGCAAGCCAAAAACTATAAAAAAAAAAATCAACTATTTCATACCATAGAAGCATGACAGCTATGAAAAAAAGGAGTGCCCCAGGGAATTCTTTTAGAGTTTGATTTTTTTTAAATATGTTTGACATGAAAAATGTTTTAGTACAAATAAAGCAACTGGTATTAAACTTACAGGGAGGGGGGAATTGTGGTTTAGAGTTAGTATGAATAATGCATGATATTTAAAGAAAGAACAGCTCTAAATGTTTCAGGAGGCAGTCCATGTTGGTTGGAATGATGATTTTTTTCCCCCTATTTTTGAAGCATCATTACTTCAGCATCGTTTTGTGATTTTTTTTAACCTGATCAGATGTAGACTAAAGAAATACTATTTGACTTAGATTAGGATATTCTTTCTTCAGATAATTTAGTTTAAATATCAAGAAGATCAGTAGAATTATTTAAGCATAAAGCGACAGTCATTTACTATAAAAAATAATTTGGCCTAGTAATGTTTTTTAAAAAGCTCGTATAGCACTGCAAACCCAGATCAACCTCATGGAAGGGGAAAGACAAGATCAGATATTTTGACCATTGCTCCATAGGAGACCAGCACAATATAGTGTTAGTGGATGCATTGTAGCAGTGCTCCATATGCAATCAGAAGCCAATTGTTACTGGACTGTGTACAAGCACACACTGTGCTCAATGGTCTGATGAGGTATTATGGATATGATGCAAAGAGACTGTGTAGATTAGAAGCTAACAATTTGTTAAAAGTGAAAGCAACTTAACATTTACATTGGGCCAGCTGAGTGAGTAGCTAGCTCTTCATGTGGCAAGCAGGATGTGTTCCAAGGAACCAGGGGCACCAGGAAGCCTCCAGGTATAAGTGTCCATACAGAAAAAAACAAACAACAACAACAAAAAGAGGTTTTATTGCTTTTTAGTGGACTACCTTTAATACTGTGATTCTTTCCACACTGTCTCTTCATTATTACCTTCAGCCTTTTAGTGTAGAAAAGTTCATGCAAAACAGCATGATTATTATAAATGTCAAAAATGTGTGGAGGAACAGCCTATTAAAATATAGCCTAGAGATAGTACATAACACCGACTTTAAATAAGTAGCTGAAACCAAAGTGATGCTCCATTAAATCACTGATATTGTGTAATTTATCCACAAGTATTAATTTTGATTTTAATTACCACTATCACAATACATTGCTCATCACCTTCTCTTGGTTCTTCAAGCCACTGCAGACAGCCTGTGTCCTTAGGTCACAGAAGGTACTTCAGTCGCCCTGCTTGGGAGTGGTCTGGAGTCAGAAACACATTAAGATGCAGCACTGATCTCTGTTGAACCATGCTCAATCTCTGCCAGGCTTTTAATGTGGGTATCTCGTGTAAAGTATGTGGTTATTTAATCAAATCATCGTCAAAGAATATTTGATAAGTGCCTAATGCGCATGATTCTGTATTAGGTTCTACCAGAAATTAATCCTGAAAAATATGGTTTCCACTCTCATTGGGATACCAGGCATTTCAGAGTGCTGGCAAAGACCAGCTGCCCTCTCACCTCTATCACATTGAAAAGGTTGCATTTAAAATTTATTTCTTTATTTTTTATAAAATAAAGTTTAGAGTTATGAGCAGCCAATAGCTCATAGTCTTTTTTTGGACTCTTAATACTCTGCCTTGCCTATCAAGCCAAAATGTGTTTGTTGTTCTAATATAAAAGCCTCAATGCTTTTTCAGTGTACTGAGTGTCAGCTTGGCTTTAAGATATTTTTTTTACTCTTAAAAAAATGATGTATTACAAGATTTGTAATGGAGTGAACATGCTTGAATTGCACATTTAATTTTTTTAACATCACATTCATGTTTTGCCAGTTTGCCTACCAGCTATCTGTTAACAAAAAGTTCCAAGGCAGCACTGCAAGTCTGTGCCCAACTAAGCCTTTTGTTTCTGCAGATGTTTGGGCTTAGAGCAATGTTGTAAAGCTCAGGCAATCCAAGGACCATGTTTGTACTTGTCTGCTGTGATTCCCTGTGCATTGTCTAAACCTGTATGCATTGTTGTCTCCGACAGGTGATAACTACCCTGTACAGTTCATTCCATCAACAATGGCAGCTGCTGCTGCTTCTGGACTCAGCCCTTTACAGCTCCAGGTAAGTGCCAGAAGAAAAAAATGTGGGATACAAGCCAGTGCTTTAGTGGGAAACTGCTAACCAGCTGTATGCTAAATAATGGCCTGAATGTTAAATAATTTTTTAAGTATAGCCCAGAAGGATTAACACCTTAAGTGCTTATCATACTGCAAATGAGGAGAAAGCTGTCAATTTCAATATTGTTAAAGGAAAAATTACATTATGACTTAATAGTATGCATTCTCTATCAGGTGAGTTAATAGTTTTACAGTTATTTTTATGGCTTAAATTTGTTAGGTTTTTCCAGATCAATTTTGCATCCATGTCTCCATTTATGTCCGGGTTAGCTTTTATATATAAGCATCAATACAGAGAATAATATTGTATATATTCTTTCTTGCAGTTCATAAAATAAGGGGTTGTTACTCTTAGTTTACTTAAGAACCGTTTGATAAAATATAAAAATGTTGCTTTTAAATATGTGTATTTTCATCCTTTCCAGGGTCAAACCAAGCTCTAGATTAGTGTCCTTTACTGACAAAGCTAAACATGGGGAGAAAGTGTTTTGGAAGTTGAATGAAAAATCATCTGCACCTTATTTCTTTCACATGTAAAATGAGAGGTTTTAAAATAGGATTAGGTAATCTTTATACCCTTCTAGCATCTTTATACCCTTCTAGCACTACATTTTAATAGAAAATTCACTTTTAAAAATGAATACATATTCTAACAAATAAAAGCAAAAAGATAAGAACATTAAGATATCTGTCAAGCCTTCAGCATGAAAACATTTAGAAAATATATGAAAATGAACAACTCAGATTTCAATACAGGAGAAAGTTTATTAAAGACAGTATTTTTAAAATTTACTGATTCTATTTTTGTTTTCTTAAACAATGTAAGGAATAGCATCTAGGTAGGCATTTTTATTTCTATATTGCTTTTCCTTCTATGACTTGAACATAAAAGAAGTACAACTATTTTACCAGGAAAAAAAGCATTTTGAACTTTTGTAAATGGGCCTAAAAATAACTCAAGGCTAAAGATACTAAGTGATCATTTTTGCAGCACTTTGAAAAGTTTTTGTCATAAGCCTCATTTGGAAATCCATGAAGATGTTATCTGTTGGGGACTAGCAGAGCTAGAAATTTTGCCTAACAGGAGCAGTAGCCCTACCGTTCTTCCAAGCCTTCATCTTTGTCACTGCTAACCCTGGAACTCACTGCAGTTGGTAAAAATCTAAAAAGAAACCTTACTCAAAGTAAATCTTATCTATTTCTCCTTTTCCTTTAACTGTGCTGTAGAGTGTCTTCTCAAATAAGAGACAGAAATAAGAAACCAGGTACCATTGTTTGATCCTACAAACAACAGAGTCTTTGGTTTCATAGAAAGTCTGGGTTCTAAACTTTCTACTTTTCATTCTTTGGTGTGGGCGATACCTAGATTTAGAAATATGTGTTCTGTTTCATGACTTCTGACAGTAAGTTTTGTCTTTCTTTCTTTCTTTTTTTTTTTTTCTGACTATGCCACTAAACAGAAGGGTCATGTATCTCACCCACAAATTAACCCAAGGCTAAAGGGCCTAAGTGACCGTTTTGGCAGGAATTTGGACACCTTTGAACATGGTGGTGGCCACTCTTACAACCACAAACAGATTGAGGTATGAATGCTTCCATTGGTGCTTCATTGGGTGGGGGACTGGATTGCTCAGCCAGGCTCTCTTTTAAAGTGGCAAACATTCAACCTAAACACTAAAGCCTAACCTTTTCTTTTCTCTCATTCCTAAGGAGCCTCTTATTTTGCTCCTTTTCTTCCAGAGAAAAAGTCAAACCCCAAACCAATGCCCCTGAACTAGATTTTTTATTGTTTTGTATGTAGGCAAATTCTGTTGCTTTACATTATGAGTGTCTTCAGAATCACCTTTCTTTCCCTCATTCTTTTACCTTTTCTTATTGTCTTGGTCATCTAGTGCTGCTATAACAGAAATACCACAAGTGGATGGCTTTAACAAAGAGAAGTTTATTCTCTCACAGTCCAGCAGGCCAGAAGTCCGAATTCAGGGTGCTGGCTCCAGGGGAAGGCTTTCTCTCTCTGTGTTGGCTCTGGAGGAAGGTCCTTGTGATGCATCAGTCTTCCCTTGGTCTGGGAGCATCTCAGCGCAGGAACCTCAGGTCCAAAGGACGTGCTTTGCTCCCGGCACTGCTTTCTTGGTGGTATGAGGTCCCCATGTCTCTCTGCTTGCTTCTCTCTTTTATATTTCAAAAGAGATTGGCTTAAGACACTATCTAATCTTGTAGATCTCATCAGTATAACTGCTGCTAATCCGTCTCATTACATCATAGTGACAGGAATTACAACACATAGGGAAATCACATCAAATGACAAACTGGTAGACAATGATACCATACTGGGAATCATGACCTTGCCAAGTTGACAGATATTTTTGGGGGACACAATTCAATCCATGACATTTATGTATAGTGCTGTATAGTGGTTTCTCAAAAAATACTTAATAATTTTTATCTCATTTGACTGTATAACAACCCTATAAATTTAATCCTATAAAATATAATACTGCTTTTATAGACCAAAAAACTGAGGTTCAGAGCAGCCAAATTCTTTAACGAAGGCTATGAAATGTTCATGAAGTCAGGGTTTCTACCTAAGATTCCTAACTCTACCTAATTCAGTTTTCCTAACTTAGTTTTCTCAGGCTGAAATATGCATGGGTGCTAGGGTCTAAGTGGTTGCTTTTTGCCTGATAAGCTTCTATAGTATCTTTTCATACTTAACCTTCCAGTAAAACTCTTTGTTGTTTTTTGCAAGATATTCTTTCTTTTGAATGTCTTTGAATACCTTTCTGCTACAAATACCCAACCCTCCTCTCTCCAATTTCGTGCTTAATTCCTCTCATGTATCATTGGAGTCCCTCTCTGGGACTATTAGACATTGGAGGGTTGCCAGCTATCTGTTGAATAAAAAAAATGGAAACAGGTTACCTCAGACTGAAACACATTTTAATTTTCTGGGTTAGATCTAATACCAAATTTTATATCCTAACCTTGGTTGGGAAACTCAACCCAACAAAAGGAAATAATTACATCTAACCCATTGCCGTTGACTCATAGTGACAGTAGCTATTGACTCTGCCAGTCTATACATATCACGGTTACTATGTAACCAATAAAGGGTCTCTTTGACATTAACTTCTTCTCTTCTGCTTTTGAATTTGCCTTTTGTAAAATGATAGGGAAAACTCACTCCTAAGAAAAAGGAATAGGACAAGATTAAAGGCCACCTTGGAAGTAGCCTAAGGAAGAGTTCCAGAGCTTGTTGCCTGCCTCCTTCTTTTGCTTTCACTTTGATATGAGAGGTATACAAGGGGTTTCCACCCAAGCATGATCAGACATATACTGTCAGCGTATTTGCTGTCTTCTATACAGTCAGAAGAAATTTATTTTCTAAGGCTTTCTTTTGGTTGTAGAGAGAGTGCCATATTTCTTGGTATTCTGAAAAGCTACTGTGCATAGGAGAACTAACCAGAGAGATAATTGGACATTAGGAACAAGTCTTTCTGTGTGATGACAGTTAGCAAGCTCCACTCAAGACATACAGCTTGAGAAAATTTTAGGTGCTTGGAAGAATGTGAAAGCAGGTGGACTTGGCTCAAACCCAAGATTTCCCCTCCTTTTTAACTTTCATTTTTTCTTATGGCTTTGTGTTCTATCCCATCAATATTCCTTTAACCAGTTTTCTACTCAGTCTCTTTGTTTACCTGATTTTTCACTAGGTTGGCTTCTCTCCGCTCCTACCATCACCAACCTCTGATACTGTCAAATCTGGCTTCTGTTGAGCTTCTGGAAACCATAATATCATATATGTGAGTGCAGGGTCTCTGTACTGCTGTATCAGTGCAGATCTAAAAGCACAACATATGCCATATGTCTGTCACTTTAATTAGGCTGAATAGGGAACCCATTAATGCAGGAACCCCATAGATTTGCAGTTTAAGTTTGGGCTGGTTTGAGAGTTTCCTGGGTTTTTGTGTATCCTTACTCTGTTCTCGTGCCTCCATTTTTTACACATTTTTCCTGCATGTTAGGGAACCTTTATGTGCTTGCTTGTATGGCACGTTAGTTAGAAAAGATGGACCTTGTTTGAAAGGCAGATTTCCCAAACTTTCTGGTGTAAAGGTAACATGTTTATTGGGACATCCAAAAACACAGTAGACAGACATATCTAAGCTGCTACAGACAGTAACATTCGAAATCTTGAGCAAAAGTAGATGGAAAATTATGTAATATTTTACTTTATAATCTTTAATATCTGCTTTCATTTCTAGCTAGAGTTTTCTCCCCTTCTTTGACAAGCTAACATGTCACAGCTCTGTCAACCATCATGATAAACGGTTGATTCTAAGGAAGCATTACAATTATGTTAACTGGTTTTATTTCTAAACAGATTTCTAGGAGGAAAAGCTCACAACACACACACACACACACACACACACACACACACACACACACACACACCCAGCTGCATTGCTCAGAACTGGTCCTCTGCCTGATGTTACAGTAATTTGTCCTTCAAAGTTTGTCACTTCTAACATTAATGACCTGCACAAGTCTTAACAGTATTTATAGTTGTACCCTGGAAGCCTGAAATTTTGTTATAAAGTGGAGAACAGGTATTTAAAATGGAAAGATGCTCCTTACATTAGCATATTCCAGTTCTTTCTTTAAAATAAGGAAGACACAGAAGAGACTTTTTTTTGATACTACTATGCTGATCCAAGGCACAGTTTTCTTTGCCTCAGGGGCACAATATTAGGAGAGAGAAAGCCAAAAGAATGCTATTTTTAGCTGAACAGTTCAGCAGGTGGAGGCATGAATACTCATATATCTGAAGGTTGAGGGGCTTGAACCATTAATTTTGATAATGTATTTAACCCTGGGAACAATCAGAAACTGTAACTCTGAGGTTACAATGCTTTTGACCTTTAGAGAACAGAGGGAACTTGCTACAGTAAACAATATATTATATTACTACTTATTCCAATTCTCTCACCCAGTATAAATTTCAGGTCCAGTTGCCATTTGCTTTCCTCAGCTATGTTAGCATTGGTCCTTCAAGTAAGTCAAAAAGAATGTTAAAGAAGGGGGACCAGTATAATGAGGCAGTCATGTAAATATGGCCTTTAAATAGCTAAGATGCTATATTGTTTCTGAATAAATATTGTCTCAGGAGCTAAGCTCTTAGTGACTTTTTTTTTTTTAATGAAAAAGTAGTTCCATTGTACTGGTTTATTTTTTGTGGTTTGTTTCAATATGATAGATGCTTAAAGTAATTTTGTTTTGTTTTGTTTTTAATTGGGAGTAATGCATCCTCATAGTTGTAGCTTATATTAAACACAATCTGGCACCATATCATGCTAAGTGATACACCTGTCTCATGCGTTCTTATTAAATGATGCATGCTTCTCTCCAGCAAATACAGCAGTTAAATATCACACAGCTTAAGAATTTCTAATTAAAATATCTCCACGTGTCAGCATATTGGTAATGTATTATTTTAATCCATTTATTTTGTTTATGAAACAGTGACATATGTTTAGATTGTGAAATATATGAGCCTTAAAAATCACTTTATTGAAGAAAATTAATTCCTACAATACTGTCTCCGTAATGTGTTCACTCACCCAGTCAGTCACTGGCAGCACTGCCAGTCTTAATGTTGGTTAGACACACCAGTTTCATCTGCATACCAGTCTTGCAAAGAAGCAATAACAGTTCTTTTTCTTAGCTCCAAACGATAAGGCTTTTCTTTCTTTACTTTTTTCTTACCCATTAATTCAAATCTGTCCCCCCAAATACTTTTGTGCTTTTTTTTTTAAATACAGTGAAGTATGAGACTGAGTATGTGTATAAGGGATTCTGAAAGACCAATCAAAATTAAAAACAAGCTAGTTACCTTTTCAAAGTTAGACATAGTAATTTGTTTGTCAGCAGGGAGATGTTTGGGTCAGCCCTGAGATAAAGTGACTGTCAGCAGTTATTCCTACAAGACAAGTAATTTCACTCAATGTATTACTGAAAGATTGCTCACTTCTCTGAATAACCAGAGAAAACAAACTTAATATTGTTACAGGCAGAGTTTCTGTCTTCATTAGCTTCAGAGAATGATTTTTATCGTGCATTCAAAGCCCACGAAGCTTTAGCTGAAACATATTTTTAAAAGACCAGTTCTTATATTGATAGTACGGGTAGTAGCCTAAATGAAGGGAATTGTATATGAAAATTCATAAATATCCATATAAATACATTTTCAGTTTTATTTGATGGGTATTTTGTGTAATTTAGGGGAGATTTGAGGGAAAGAGTGTAATTAGAGCCTTAAAACACTAGGAAAACCTATCAACCATAAGTTATTCTTAAATGAAACCATTAAAGTCTTGCGAAGTTTGCAAAGATGGAGGAGAACAATTGAAGTTTTTGCAAAGTGAATAGAAACACATATTTTATTTAAATGATATTGTCAATTTTCAGGCTGAAATGGAAAGTGAAGAAGTGCCCATCAACATTGGAAATGCTGTATTTCTATTTCAGTTCCAGACTGAATATTATTTGTATTTAGATGCTGTGCTCTGGCTCAGACCTATTT